CAAACAATGGCATTTCATTCTAAGTGGAATACTTTTTTTTTAATAGGGAGAACGAAATAAGCATTTGAAGACATCCCTTTGGGTCTGGTATTATCTCGGGAGCATGAATCGTTAAATGATTAATTAGTTGCAACTGTAGTTAAGTGTGAACTTATCAGCTATGCATGGGAACATGTCAATAGGTTTTTACATTGTTACTCTGTGTGAAGCATCATGCCTTCTTCCGCTTTTGTATGATCCTGAGCAGTGTTGGCTTTATTAAAGTGTACTAACATCATGACTTACTTCTTTTGATGTGAACTCTGACACATTAAGGTGACATTGAGCTCATTTGTACCTTTTAAAATATACCAACATTCCAATAAATACTTTTATAAATGACAAAGTCAGCATAGGACACTTACTAATATGCTTTTTAAGTCTCTAATAAATGTTCTATTGGACTCTAAAAAGTTTCTAAATGCCTCCGATAGGGTTTGCTGATTCTCACTCTTCGTTTGACCTACAAACTTCAGATGAGTGTATTAAGAAGCAAAAGTTAACGCTTTCTTCTTTCTACATGTAGATGTGTCTTGTCTTGACTAGCTCAAATACCTCCTCAAGTGCCTTTTATTTAAACGTGTGCCAAAAGAGTGCAAACAGCACTGAATAGATGAGGAATGAAAGTATTTGTCGTGACTCTGCATCATTTCTCTGACAAAAGAGAGATTATCTTAACATACAGAGAGGAATTTGGAATCAGCCCTCTGGCAACGAGTTTTGTGAACATTTCTGCACCCCTGTATAACTTGTTCACTCACTCATCACTCAATCTCTCTTTCTTACTCTCAGACACACAGGGAGTATGTTTAGTAGACTTTACGTTTATGTAGGGGAGGCAAAAGGCCGCATCTCAGACATTACTGGTCACCACCAACATAATCTCTTGACAGCGTAATTGCGGGAAGATTTCATGCCTTTGGAGTTCGTCTGCTCTCACTGGCCATCTGTCTGTGCCCCCCCCACACCCACCTCCACCCACTACTTGCTGGTCTAATATACAACTCGCATCACATTCATTTAAACAAGTAGGTGGAGGAAAAATACATGTAAGCCCCTTTCTTAGAAAAATTAAAAAACAACATAAGATGCAGAGTAACATATATTATGATGCTGTCATAAGGGATTTCAAAAGTAATATTAATGTATTATAATCTTAATACAGTTTGAGCACAGCAGCCGTTTTGAATGTGAGATTTATGTCCAGAGTCAAGTGCACAAAGGCAACGACACACTTCACTTTCTGCTGTGGATTAAACCACCATTTTCCCCCGTTATCATAACCTCGTCTGTCCATACCATGTTCTCGTGCGGCCAAGCGGCAAAAAATTGGGCGCACTTGTATCTCACCATGAACTTTGTGTGACAGAGAAAGAAATGCAAACCGGTTACCTCCACTCTTGCCATGGCAACGGACGCGACAAGAAAAGCGATCCTGTACCTGTGTATCTGTCTCCCTAATGGTCTGTGTGTTAGTGTAACAAGATCTGTAAAAACTCCCCTCAATGACATTTTAGATCCCCCACTGTAACTGACCTGGGCTGGGGAGTCACAAGTAGGATTTAGGTGAGTACTCAGCCTTCTCTCAGGTTCCTCTTCCCCTTTTCCTAATGAATTCAACCATAAGAAGACTTGAGAAGGGGCCTCTTTTTCCACATGGCCAGGATATTATTTACTGTTGTACGAACTGTATTACGTTTGCAAATGTTCATTATCAAACATCATACTTTTCCCACTTCACAAATGTTAGTCAAACCTTTTTTTTTTACAGAAGAAGATCTTTCCCATGTTTTTAATTTAAAATACCAAATGGGAGTCTATAATGTTTTTTCCTTTTTTCTTTAAGGGGGTAAAGCTCTCATTAAGAATGCTTTGAGGTGGGTGCTGAAGTGTCCTGCATTAGAGCACCTTGCAGCTTCACTGTCGGACTGCACCACTCGGACCACTCCTAACTCTCCTATTCCCTCTGCTGGGAAAGGCAGATATTACACAGCCCAAACACAGCACAAAACACAGACTACACTAATTACTTTACTTTAAGTAGCATCGCTGCACATAGGGACTCGGATGACCCATGTTGTGTTCAGGCTCAATTTCAATCTGCTGCTTCCTCTATGCAGGCTTGGTCTAGGTGAGAGCCTCGCTGACACCGCTCTGTATGAAATATCAATGTGAATGACTCACTCCCAAGTTTGGTGTCAATCATCATCGCAAATGCCAAACCCATTATCACCAACTCTTTTCAAGAAGTTGTTTGTCCATCAGGTGGCAGAAGCAGCAGGGTTTTTAGGAAAGGGGGAAGGTTTTCACAACAGCATTCAAAAGCTTGTTCTCCCTCAGGGTGAGGGAGCTACATTTCCAATGTACCTTATAAATGACCTTGTAAACATCACATTTTCCATTTTTGGTTTCATGCACTTAATTTCAAAGCGTGGTTTGTTTGGTGGGTGTATGTGTGTGAGTAAGTAAAAGGGAGGAAACTTGGATCAAACCTCATAAAGATGGATATTGTCTGTGCTTAGAGCAGCAGCAGTGATACAAATATGAATACATGTCGTACAGTATTTATATCTTCAACCATTTGCCTCGAAGAATATTGAGCATCAGTGGAACAAGCAGGCTTTACCTTTTGTTATTTTGGCCAAAGCTTTCCCAAGATTTAAAGAAATATTGTTTTGACAAGTGCAGCACACTCCAGTAGAGGACCAGTTTGTCTCCTGGTTGCTTGTGTCGACTGTTTCGATAAACGCCAGCCTACTTTGCTGTTTGTGTTTCTGTTTTCCTTTCCTTTTTTGTATTGAATAGCACAACAGGCAAGTTCATTATGCGTGTGACTCATCCCACTAGCCCACACCCCCTCCCCATCTGCTGCTGTGCGCTGGAAAGGAGAGGGAACCGCCATTGATCACTTCTTCCCTCACACATGCACGCACACACCCCACCTTCAACGTCACTATCGATCGACATGTTTAATGTTTTTGTGGGAAATAGCTGGCATTTCCTTTTTTGTCATTTTCAAATGTGTTCCTTACCATTTGCTGACATTACATAGCAGGCATTTAAGAAATAAAAAGTAAGGCATAATCCAAAGAATTGTTTTGAACAATCTCCGAGTGTTCAGTCAGTTATAGGCAGTGGCATTCAGGAAATATATTACATAATTATGTCTGGACAGGAGATGTTTGCGTGTTTGTTGTGTAGATCCATGGAAAGGCTGAGTTTACAGCAAAGCTGCTCTGGAAAGTGGTTGGCAGGTATTGGACATTTCCTTTATAAAGCCCACTCCCTCCCTACCTGTTATTATTTAACAAATGCTTTAAACTTACCTCAGATATCCAATGGTATGTTTAGGATAAATTCAATATTTTTTTGGAGTAACAACATCGTTATAATAACTATCCTCAAAAAGATGTTTACCAAAAGAAAATGTTCTTCTTCTTCTTCTTCTGCTTTGTTTGAAAGAGTAGAAACCTAGTAGAACTATTATTGAAAAAGTTTGAAATTCATGTTTTTTATTTCTAACAGGTTTCTGTCATTGAAACATTGAAACGTTTTGAATCAAACACTGACCAAATTTGTTCATTCTTTAATGCCAGATTTGGAAGAAATGCAATTTTTTCATTTCTCATGGTTTTCAGTAAAAACTATACACATATTTATGATGTAGCATAAATGCTATTCATCACTATAGCTAAATGTAGAAACACATGCTGCAAAAGCCTCCACACAGGGACACATTAGCATTGCAGGAACAATATTTGATGTATTAATTTTGCAATGGTGGCAAAGAGCTGTGTCTTGGAGAAAGAGTGCAAACAAAGAGTGTGGAATTATTGCTAAATAAAAAATGGACTGGTTGAAGAGAGAGAGAGTTCATTTACATTTTAGGCATTATTAATTGCTGGGCATCTATTGCAAGAGTTTAGTTTGCACTTGTTGATAGAATCACCAGACTGACAGTGAAGGCACCTTGTGCCAGAACCAGACAGTTGTCTTTATACAACACTGACTTAAGATTACTTTTTGATGGAAAAATAATATGTGATTGAGTCCTTCTAAATGTTTGCTTTTCTGTAATCAACCAGAGCAGCATGTTAAAAAAGTTAGGAAAAAATAAAGGTTTTTTTATATGTAGGAACAGTTAGGCCAAAAGTCGTCATAGTCATGCGAATGATGTGAAAGAAAAGACTCCCCACTGATTTGTTTTCTCAAGTGGATATTAATAATGGTTTAGTAGGCCGACACAAATGATTGTTGCGTCGAAAAAACAAAGTAAACTGTCGACATGTGCCAGAGCCTGCAAGAAATTATAGCTATTTAAATAATCATCAAACAAATGCTGACGTCACGTTTATCTGTTTCAACAAGCTCGCACCAACTTTTCACACTTTATATTACAACTCAGATCAAGGCAATTAAGTACGGTAACAGTCTTTTTGTGAAAATATTTATTTATTTTTTGTGTCATTTTACTTGAAACTGTTATGTTCATTTTGTACTTAAATTCTTAATTAAATGGAAATATACTCATAGCTTTTTATGAATCAAAGATTTAATTTACAAAGTAGTACTTTACACGATGGTTATTTCATATAGAATATGCACAATATGTACATGTTTGACCAGAAACCATGCTATATCATGATATATACTGTATCATTATCAAGATATGAGATTACCTATATTGTAGTAGAACATTTTGGCCATATTGTCCAGCCATAATTTATACTTAAATAATTTGCATCACTCCTCTATTTTTGGGGATGTCTGCTTCAAACTTACAGGCTTATCTGGAATCATGAATACAAATCCGTTTTTGATTTTTGACAAAGTCAGATTCACTACTGTAAACTAAACACTGAAAAAAAAGAATCAACATTGTGACGATAGGGTGATGATGATTAATTGTTCATACGGAGTCCTGGTGTGAATGTGTTGTTTTCTTGCTTTCTCGCCTGTAGGTGGTTCTAGACATGACATTTGGGGGTGGTGGTCACACCAAAGCAATTCTGAATTTGGTCCCTGAAGTCACAGTCCTGGCCTTAGACCGAGATCCTACAGCCATTTCTCTGGCCCAGCAATTAGCCAAGGAATACTGGTAAGTGATTTATTAAAGAACATCATGTAGAATGAGACTAATGTACAATAGATGTGTATTGCCGCAGCTGACAGCTTGACCATTTTGATCACAGTGTCTGGTTTGTGGTCATTATTTCTTAAAACATACTATATGATGTAAATGTTGCTGTTCTGTCTGTATTTCTCACTTTTTCCCTGAGCCCGATAAAATACTGTTCGCCAAGATACAGCCCATGAGTTTCACCATCCAATCAAATCCTTTTCTCCTTCTTAACTTAAAGCTTTTCTCCCCCCCACGCAAAGCTGGTGGGCCCGGCATGTCATTTGTCAGAGTAAGGGCCCACGCCTGCAGTGTGAAGGAGATGCTGCCTCCCACGGAGGATCTATAAGATATGAGGGGGGGGCGGGAAGTAGAGAGAAGCCCAGAGAAGTTAAAAAGTGTCAAGAGAGAAAAAAAGAAAATGAAAACACGAGAGTGAGAGAACAGGGAGACACGAGGACACGTTGCCAGTGTGAGAGGGAGTGTGTGTGAGCATGAGCAAGGCGCGGGAGGATGAAAATGAGATGTTCCTAAGACCATGGCGTGGGAAGGAATCCTTTTACGTAGATTCTGGGGAAACCTCTCTCAAGGGACTCTGCCAGAGAAATGTGCCCGTGAGCAGGGAATGACAATTAAGAGAAAGAGAGAATGAGAACACTGTATTCTGTCAGCAGCAATAAACCCCTGCTGTAAACTCTTCCACGCCCACTCGTGATACAAGTTGAGAGAAGCTAGAGAAATCTAGCAATTAACCAATATTATTGGAAGCCTGAGTAAAAGACCCTGGCAGCCTACGCAGTGCATCCTCACAACAGGGTTAGAGGATTTTCTCTCTCGCCTGTACTGCTGTTTCTTGAGGGAAGTATAACCTCACTGCAAGCTGTTGAATGTTGGTGTGAATCTGAACCCAGTTTAACAGTACAGAAAGAATAATTTTACCTCAAATGTTTTTTTTGAAAGCATTAGCTTATGAAACTAAATCTCTGATCCCTGAATGATATTCAACCATGCCTTAAATGGGATTTGTCTCCTGCATGTTGAGCCTCAGTCAGCCTATTCTCTCCTCTTCACCATTCCTGTTGTTGCTATGACTTCCCTGCGCTTGAAGCTACGCAGGAGTTATGCCCACAATAAATGTTACGAATCAGAAAAAGCACTAAGCATTATTCTAATGTCAGGCAAACATTGGATTTACACCTGTTCAATGTTGTCACACACAGACTGAAATCAAATGTTATTTAAAATTAATTGTACTTTGTTGATTTCAAACCAATTTAAAAGTTATTTATTTAGCTCTTGCAATCGCATTCACATTTTCTGTAACCATTTGTCATGGATGGAGCTAGATAGCTTGTTGTTGGGCGGATTTAGTTTGAGGTGCAGTTGATACATGAAATGCAATCAAGGCAGTGCAGTTGCAGGAACAGATTATGCATTCAAAGGCTTTTCTGGGACAGTTTGTGAAACAAAGTAATTTGCAACTTAAGTTAACATGGTGGGAACTCATTTATCTTTAGTGAGGTAACCGGTGGGTGCTATAACAGGTCATAAGCCGCTAACTGTCTGCTCCACATTTTATTTTTGTAATAGCTTGGAGCCGGAAGCCACCCACATTAAGCTTCACTACCGATCTTCAGAAACCAATAGGCAATGTGACGAGACAATGTCCATATTTTGTATGTATTGTATTATTGTTTGTATTAAGTCTATGGTTTTGTTTACCAAAAAGAAAATCCAACCATGAGTCATTCTCTTTACATTGTTCAGTGTATCGCAGTCAGCCTTTCTCTTGACTCTAATAAGAGGATAAATAACATGAATCATTCATCACAGACAACATCCCGGAAAGTGTACGTTTTCAAAATTGTCAACTTTCCTCATCTGTGACACAACATCTCCTAACTGTTCGGAAACAAGCTTTTGAATGAGGACATGAAGATGAGAAAATGTGGAGGAACAGCATGGAAGCATTTAACAGTTATTGATGACATTTCAAAGAAACACCGGCAAGGCCACCAAGTAAACAGCCGTTTAATTACATTTACTCAGCCAAGTGAGGTAGCATACATTGACATGTTAAACAAACACACATTTTTAAAGGCTAGTCTGTGTGTGTCTTTCTTGATGTTTGTAGCCTCCTTCTTCTTTTATCTTGTCTGGACTGTAGATATTTTCATCACTGCTCCTCTGCTGAAAGCAACCAATCAGCATCTTGTCTTAAAGGAAATGAGCAGGTCAACTCAAGGGAATATTTCAGGTTTGATTTGTGAATAGGGTGCATCTTGTCTGCTGAAAAGGTTCCTGATGTCCTCACTGAGTGTACTCTTATTCCAAATGGGCAAGAAAAAGGAATTATTTAGTGACAGGAGGACATACTAAAGAATAGCCAAATGTGTTGCTTTGCGCAAAGTACGTATTGTCTTATTCAGCTTTATGGTTTATTATTATTAATGACCTTAGAAAATAACATGTTGATATTAAAGACAGATAACCTTTTATAATATAATCGTCCAGTTTATTTGAATACAATTTAAAACTGGTTTGACAAAATGTGTATCTATGTGTCTGTGTTTTGAGTAGACAAAATCTATCATAATAATATTTTTGGACTATTGATTCCTACTGGATTATGACACCTTTTCATCTCATACCTTTTAAGAACATGAAGATATCTTGATCATGATTCAAACTGAGCAAAGTGAATTTTAGGAGTTGCAGTTGTTAGTAGAAAGGAAAGAGACGCTTAGATTTCATTCCACATGGGGCAGTGCAAAACACATTTATGTCGAGGCTTTGCTGTATAAATATACTTAATAAACATTTAGAGAATAAGGCAAAGACTTGAGGGATCTGACTGCCAGAGGCTGAGCTGGACACACACATACAGTTCACGTATGTACAGTCTGTGTATTATCTCTTTGGGGCAAAATGTTAACGAAAGCTGACTACTGCTAAAATGACATGAGGCCAAATTCCTGTCACTTAAAAGCACATTAATAGATAGATAACATGTAACTGTAATCACCTTTTCTGATGTTCAATTATAAGGCAAAGCATTGAACATTTAAAAAGAATATGCTGAGAATTGGAAATGTCTGATGGACTTTTAGTTTTATCCGGCACATGGTTTCTTCACTTATAGAAGATGCTACAGCGCAAATGGGAATATACCCTTGTATCATTAGCACTGGCTCTTAATCTTTGTCACTGCCATTTCACATATCCTGTTATACAATCTGCAAAGCTTTGGATTGTCTCTGTGTGATCTTCCCGTTTTTGGAAGATCACATTCAGTATTAGGTTGATCTAGCGAGATGCAAGAATAACAAAAAACCTGCATGATGTCAATGTTGTGGGGTGCTACAACTATAAATAGATCTCTTAAGCAATTATGAGCCCACACTTGGACCTCAGCACATACACCACTGAAACTTGTCCTCTTTAATAATATAAGACCTTACATAAGACATTTATATATCCAACTCTGTGTCTAAGCCACATAAAGAAGTTAATAATTTAGAAATGTTATGCAACTGTTTTGCATATTTTTAAATCCTTCAGTGGCTTACAAAAACGTGTCTGTGAAAAAGTCACAGTGTCTAGAGAAAGGTATGTACATCACCTGGGTGTGGACGGACACAAAGACCACAGTATTTTAATTTCCATTATTAAAAAGCAGTAAGTAAATTGTTTAAAACATACCGTAATAAAAGGCCTTTCTTAAGCATGATAGAGCTTTCATTATGTTTTTGTAGCTAGCTGTTACGAGACTCCAACTGTGTATGGGAAATCAATTATAGATATCAAATTTTATTGTGTTTTAAAATGTACATTGTACAGATTTCCCCTTTGTATTAGAATGTAACAATTGGCATAGACTCCTCCCATAGCTGCCTTCTGTGTGGTCCCACACAGGCTACACTCTTGCCTAACTCACTCCTCTCAGACATAAATGTTCTTTTGTTATTCACCACACAAATGTTTTTTAAATGTTCACAGAGTATGTTCTCTAGATCAGCTTTCATTCTTTCTATTCCACAACATCAATAACATTAGGAATTCCGCAAGAGATAATAAGCCTTGACTTGTGCAACACTCATTGGGGAGCTTGTGACTGGACCAGCAGTGCTGCCTACCAGTCAGTAAAGCTCCGTCCCCTTTCTCCTCTTCCCTGTTGCCCTTCATACAGAGGAGCCCTTTGTTAGCTGCTAGCTATCAATGCTATGTATGGAAATCGACATTATAAGAAGTGGCTATGTTGACCATTAATTTACCATCTACCATTGTGCCCATCTTTTAGTGTATCAATACCAATCTTTTCCTCTTACTCAAAATATCATGAAATAAACCTACAAGTACCTGTAATCATTCACAAGTATATATTAGTAGGTACGTAGTGCAACAAAGTGTGTTTTCCCTAGTCTCTCAGTGGAGCTGTTGGTGATAATCATATGACAGCAGTTTCTGTGTGTTAGCAACTAGCTCTTATTTTCATCCGCACAACACTGCTTGACCTTCAGTAAAAAAAGACGTCAACAACAATTCAGGTTTGCTAAGATTTTCAACACTCATGAGCTTAAAAAGTTTCTCAGCTTTCACCAATTAGACAGTTAATACCCTGAATAACCAACAAAAATTGGAGTAGGTGGGTAGAGTGCTTTTGAGGAGGCAGTAACATAAAGGGTTTACGCAGGTGATGGGAGAGAACAACAAAGCCTTTACTATAGATTTTTCAACAAATCAATCACTGTGCAGGAAAGTGAATAACAACAGCAAAGCAATGGAAGGCCCTGGCAGCGTGGGTGAGATGCTCCCTTGCCATCTTGTCTTCAGTGGGCTTTGAAATAGAGGACCTGCCAATTTGTGTTCTTTCCTTGCATACCCCTAGTTAATCTTAAGAGTCATTGTTGTGTACATAAATGTATTAAAATGTCCGGGAATCAATAACAGTATCTTTATTTTATCCATACCTATATTGATGCCGCTTATAATCATTGATGCTGCTTATTAGTATCAATACAGTACTTTAAGCAATAATTACAATTACTTTCTTGTGGTATAGAAAATGAACTTAAATAAAACTGAACACCGTCTAGTAATGACTTTCAAGTTACTTCCACCCCCCTTCTTTTGGCGTCATTGCTCAGAAAATCCCCATCTTTAAATTCTGCCTTCATTCTCATCTCATCGACACATCTGAAAAGTTTTGTGATGCCGAACCAGGCCGGGGTAAATTGTGCTCCTTCTTCACTTCCCAACCCCCCTACTTCTGACGCTTTTGCTTGGGTTTTCATTGAATGTAGGCATTTATTTTCTTCACACCTGTCACATTTAGGAAGTGCATCTTGTACTGGTGTTATGCTTTGCAATGAAAAAAACAAACTGTCTGTGGACAGATTTCGGTCCGTCCATCAAACTTTCTCCAGATGGAGGTTCATGTGTTGTTCTCAATCTGTGTGCACAGGTTGCTAGATACTTTAAAGATGGGCGAGGCAGCAGATTAAATTAGCTAATTAAATATGCATTGCATAAATGTAAGAGCATCACCATAGCCAACCAGTACTATCTTATGTTAACTAAAGCTATCACGTTTTGTCAAAACACTTGTCACACAATAAGCTTTAGCTCTCTACCTTAAAGTTTCATCCGATAACGATGGTTATCCTGATACAAGGTTTTTGCTTTGAGCGTATTATAATTGTTTTTTGTGAAGTGGACATGCTGCAAATGTTGGGTTCAATGTTACCCTTCTCTTCCGTTCCTTTATTCCTGTCCACATGTTAATACAGTCTGCAGAATGTAAACAGAACTACAACTTATTCTTGTTTCTTCATTAATTATGAAGCCCTAGACCAGGGGTGCCCAATACGTCCGGTCGATCGCAAAGGTAGTGTGGGTAGATCGCATGGCATTTGCCACTTGATTGACGTACAGGTAAGCCAGTCTGAGATCTCATCTTTTCTAACACGCAGTTCACCACGCATGCTCGGTCAACCGCGCAAGCTGCAAATCACCGGTGAGCTGATTACCTAGTAGTTAGCCTTCCAATTTATACAATTATACTAAAGTAAGGGTATAAAATTGACGTAATGGCCAAAAATGTTCTGAGTTGTATTGTCCCATATGGGTTCATGCAGTTATGCAAGGTACACCAACATAAGGTATTCTCACTATATATAAATAAATATATGTTTAGCATTTTTAATGTAGGTAGATCATTTTGACTTGGTCATTTTAAAAGTAGCTCCCAAGCTGAAAAAGTGTGGGCACCCGTGCCCTAGACATGAAGAAAAGTTTTTTTGACAGTAGGAATGACTCAGGATACAAGTCTTCACTTAAGTCTTTTGGTGAGTTCTTGACAAAGATAGGAACTCCCATAATGAGGTCTTTACATTTCCTTCATCCTTTAAATCCGGTCCATGTTAACCTCATACTGAGTACACATTATATGGAGAAATTAATGAGGAAGGTGTCATCAATTTAAGCTGCTTAGGTATTTGATATACACAATGAGTTGTTTGTCATTTAGAAATGACAATAACATATTTTTGGTCACTTTATTTTCAAGAAAAATACCTTAACTGGCAGGGATGGGTAGAGCAGGCTGCAGAAGACCTCTGGCTCCTTATGTGGAGATGCTAGATCCTGTTGCTCTCTTCTGCCATCATCTTTGTTCGCACAATGTTAAAGGTCACATGAAAAATGCATGAATGTGGCTTGAGGATGCATGACGAAGTGACTGTGTACATAGCTTCTTGCTGTCGGTGACAAGGAAGGATCTAAAAAAGACTCTTAGTGGGAACTCCAAGGAAATACCTGAGTCTGTTTTGGGTTCACATTCAATTGTATACGTCACAGGGTCTCTGCTAGAAATGCTTAAAATGACCTTGACTTGCTGGTTGTTGACTGTGGATGTTTGTTTTTATGTATGACCAATTTGAACATGAAAATACAGTCAATATTTGCCATTAACTGAGGAGGGGACTAATTTACCATTCCCATCTAGTAGCAATGTCTCTCTTCCCATCACTTACATATTAAACCAGTCTGTAAAATCCCCAGTTAAGTGTATAAGATTGTGAAACACTCTCCCTGTATTATCACAGAAAGGGAGCCACTCTGTATTATCAACGCCATTACTCCTGTCTTCATCAAGGAATAATTCAGCAAGACTAAATCTTGTTACACAAGTCTTTGTATCATAATTGGGGCTTAATATCTTTTTCTTTTTTATATTAAATGATGGAACATAATCCAATACCGTATTAGACTCATTTCCCCGCTCCACATTTTAAACCATTTTAAAGGAATTTTCTAGTTATGAGTTGACATTGAAATCATAAACAGCTAAACTATCTTTTTGCAACACAATCCCTAAACTTTACATAAACTATTTTACTATAATCATTTAAAAATAAAAAGCTATCCAACCAGTTAAACCAAGCAATACAAACGTATTTTCCCTTATTCTGCTGTCTAAATATCACTGAAGAAATGTAACATTTATTTTCCATTGCATTTAAATTAGGCCAGTGTTTTGACAGCAGCCATAAGCATTGATATGCAAATGTCTAATCATGCTTTTTTCCCCATTATCCTTTCTGCAGTGGTCGTGTGAAACCATTGCTTGGCAAATTTAGCGAGCTTGAAGCCCTGTTGTCTAACATGAACATTGAGCCAGGCAGCGTGGATGCTGTCCTGTTGGATGCTGGCTGCTCCTCCATGCAGATGGACGAGGCGCAGAGAGGCTTCTCCCTCAGCAAGGATGGGCCCCTGGATATGAGAATGGATTGTGAGAGGTAATATATTTACAAAATACAGTAATCGTATCAGGCTGATGGATCTCAATTTCATTAACAATACAGCATTAACAAAACTGGATACAAATAACTCTAGACTTCGTTTATAGAATAAATAATGTTGGGTTCTGCCGGAAAATCTGAATTAATGGTGACTTGAAAATGCGTCAGCAGTAATTCGAGCACTAATGTCAGTAAAGCAGCTTATAAAAAAGGGACGTTGCACATTTTTCAATAAAATGTAATATGTGAAAAGCAAAATAAGTAATATGAATATTAAAATGACTAAACTATTAATTTTGATTAAACGATGGGCTTTCCATTTTCCGTTTGACAGAAGTTTCTCATAAATATTAGGGCAAACCTTTCCTTAACCATGACCACAATCTTTTCCTTCCTTCTTTATCATTACATTTACACTGAAAATATAATCTTTAATGATTATGAACAAGTATGATTGGGTTTTTGTCATAGTGCGTAGCAATTAAATGGTTCAATAAACTTTAATTTTGAAACAGATAGTTTCGCCAGGCTTTATACGCATATTCCAATAATCCTAATCCTAAATGTCATTTCTATTTGAATTATTGTCGAAGGTTGATATGTATGTATTTGCGTATGTGCATGTATATGTACGTATGTAATGTATAGATACATATACAGTGTATATGTACATATTTATGCAGGTATATTGATAGACATATATGTGTAATTATATTTTTATTAAAATGTTTAGTTTATTGAATGTTTCTCATAAATATATGAATCACTTCACAAGGTCAGCGTAATGTGCAGATCTACCAGCTAAGATAACCTCATTAAAAGCTATTGCACAGGCTGCATCTCTCTTTTCATCCCCTCACAATCATTCTATTCATAACTGTCAGCCATAAATGTTTTCAGCTGTATCTCAGAGTTGTCAGAATTCGCCGCTGTCAGCAAGGACGTGACGTCAAGCAGCTTAATTGGGCTTCTCTTTGTGCGTAGGTACCCCGACATGCCCTGCGCTGCTGACGTTGTGAATACCTTAGATCAACAGGCTCTTGCATCCATCCTCACTGCATATGGGGAAGAAAGACAAGCCAGGAGAATAGCTTCAGCTATTGTTGAGGCACGCCGAGTCAACCCCATCACCCGGACACAGCAGCTGGCCAGCGTGGTGGCAGGTAAACACAATCCTGATTAATTATCCTCAGCATTCTGGAGGCTGCGATGAGAAAATAAAACACAAGTGAAGTTAGTAAGTCTGTCTCCAAATTACGAGGACTGTGACCTCAGTCGTCATCTTCTCTTCTGCCTCTGTTTTTGGTGCCTTTCTTCCCCACCTTCCTTTGACAGAGCTAAGACAAAGCCACAGCCGAGACAGAATGTGGCTAATGCCTTGAAAACAAACAATATCTCACACACAGAAACCAATCCCTCTCTTCTTCCCCATTGCTCTTTGCTTTGTTTTTGTTCCCTTCTTTTCCACTATTTCTCGACTCACAAATATGCACACACACCTGACACAAAGGCAAACCCCCACGTATGCTCACACACATGACACACTCGTGCATTAGGAAAGGATAACATTGTTTGTCTTCAATGATTGTTTTTTATAGCAGTATGCCTCCACATTCAAGCTGCTGAACGAGTGAGATGTCGCTTCAGTACTTATTGCACGGAGCCGTATGTGCGTCAGTGTCACCCTGGGAAAACAGGTGTGAGTAAGAGCAGCTGCTTGATCTTTTTGAAGAGCAAAGCGAGTCACTAGCAATGTTTATTTGAAACAATCCAAGAGGTTTTGATTTAAGAAAGTTCCAGAGGGATCTATGAACAATTGTGACAGCGATGCTGGCAGAAAGACATTTAAGTCACAGGAAAAATTGGAGGATTGGAGGAAGCCACTTGGGGGGCTGGTGGCCTTGAGACATCAGGAAAGAAAGTCCAAAGTCTTTTGGTCACATTTCTCCTACTGTAGTTTTTACAGTTAAGGTTACCAGTAAGCCATCATTATATAGAAAACATTTCATATTGAATTTTGTAAATGAAATAACAAATACTGCAGCACATAATGTTTATTTGAACTTCAAATAGCTTGTATCAGCATCCAACATGTGGATTTGTTATTTAATTCGTTATTAGAATGTAATTGCAATTTACTTGTTTACAGATGAATGGAAAACCATACATAGGCCTATTTCCCTGTCAAGAACTGGTTAAAACTGATATTAGACTTCAAGGTAAGGTAAACGTAGATATGCTTGAGATTAGGAGATTTAGAGAGTGAGCCTAATAATGAAACCTTATTTGTTTATGTTGTTGGCCTGTTTCACTGATTGTGTAAGTGTTTTGCAGAACTTTGTACAATTATTTGTTGATACAATATCAACTGCATCATCTCTTTCTGGAGATCTTAAAAATCTTCACACAATCCAAGAAAGTCCACAATCTTTTTTTCAGTTCTGTCTCCAGTTGGGATGTATGTATATTTGTTGTCAGCTGTTGTAAACACCAACCCAGCGCCCCCAAAGTTCATTGTTATTGGACAATCCTGCCGTATGTGACGTTTCGTTTAGTGCCAATGTTTATTGCAGTGCAACGTTTGTGTTGTACGGCTAGAGGAAAGGGTGTGAAGGTTAGGGTGGTGGATGAGTGTGTATCATATTTATAAAGTGAATTATTTTATCTACAATGGTGTTTTGATGTTATCCTTAGCTGTGAGTCACTTAGTAAAGACTGTTTCAGTAAATCATCTTCAATCTTTCCTGACATTTAACTATGAGTGAGATATCACTGCCGGATGCTTTACAGATGTGATTAGAAAGGTTCTACAAATAGCCACAGCAGTGCGTAGTGGTGTTGTTTTGCAAAGTGCTTTAAACCCTGAAACAGAAAGCAAAGCAGAATTCTACATGCAACTACAATAAAAGTGTGTTCACTTTGCTGAACGCTGACAGCAAGAGTCAAGTGAGCTTCATTTAGCTACATTACAGTCAAATGCATTCAACAAAACAACCCAATAAATGGCCTAATCACCCTGTACTAAACTGTGTGTGTGTGTGGCCAGAGGGGAGGACATGGATGCAATTATTTAGAGACACACACACACACAAGCTATTTAACGTTCATTTCAACCCAGAGCAACAACAGTAAAACACGTTTGGTGGTCTACTTAAATTAATTCAACATTAGCACGTCAGCTTTCACTGCCACTATAAAATGCATTGGCTCAACCAGTTGCAGAGTTCCACAAATATCCACAAACCATCCAATTTGTGTGGATGTGTGATGAATGTTGTTACATGGGTTGAGTTGCATTATATACCAATATCTCTGCAATAGGCTTATATTAGGTGATCTGTAGTTTGATAATCTGATTTCTGTGACTTTGTGTGACAATGGCATATTTGGCTTGGTGAACTTCTTTACAAACAGAAACAAATAATTTCCTCAGGGATTAATAAAGGTTCATCTCCTTCTTCTTCTTCTATAGTTTCTATCTTCCATCTTTTTCTAAACCAAAACTTGCATTGTTGAATGGAAAAAGATGTAAAGTCCAAAATGGAGGAGGCTATCAAATTAGCTTTGGAATTGTTAAATGATTATACAATTAACAACCAGTAAGCTTGCTTGCTTACTAGCGCAGAGGGCTGGCTGGCTAACGCTAGCATAGGCTGCTCCCTGTCAAATGGCATTTTCCCAGATTAACCCCAGCTGGAGCAGCTACCCCTGCAAGCCGTTACTGCATCATGAAGCCTCAGCACCACGTGTAAATAAATGACAGTGTGCAACTGTATAGTGTGACAAAGCACTCCGTTTTGATACAGTCCCGTTTGGTAGTGATGCTACTTCTTTCTCGACAGTGTTTCAGTTGATGTTTGCCTCACAAATTGAAACATTTCAACTTGAGCAATAACATCATGTTATATGTTGTTCCACCCCAGTTGTGTCAATGTTTTCCTGTTCAACCTGCTCTGTTTGTGTGATCAAACTCCTGCTTTTTGTTTAGGCCAGGAACACCAAAGCACCAAACACTGTTGTTGTCCAAATATCTTACTGTGGAATGTAGTTGTGCTCCTTCTTTTGTTGTTGCTTGCCCTAAACATCAAATATAGCTAAATAAGATGAGACATAAAACAAAAGGGTCAGCAAGAGCTGTATTCTAAATACTGTGCCTTGTAATAAATTCAGAGTGTTGTGTTTCCTTCTTAACTCCCCTTTATGTACATATCTTAATCTCTTTGTTTCTCCATGGATCTGTCTGTAGGACCTTTGAAAGATGAATTAGAGACAGCGCATGGCTTGGTGAGGCCAGGGCTGGGCCTTGCTGTGCAGGCATCGTATCGATTGCAGTGTGAGTCACACCTTAGGCTGTTTAGTGCAGGAGGAGATAAATGCCACATCACTCACGTCTCTATTTATTGCGGTTTTCTTTAGGCCTAAGTGTCTAATTTCTCTTTATTATGAGCTGCTCAAAGTGGAAATAAACTGTTCAGTTGTATTGACATAGAGTGAATGTTTTTTTTAATGTTATTTAATAGATTTTCAGTTAGCGTTTTGAACCCGACATATTGTCTACATTTTTGGACCTTTTTGTGTTTGAATTCTGATGCATGCTATACCCTGCATGTTTTTTTAGCAAACAAGTGCACAAGCCTGTAAGTGCAGTTTCTTTCTGCGTGTCTGCAGTTAGCAATGCCTTTTCCTGGATTGCACATGGATTTTAAAGGAGGTGTGCTCAAAAAATGAGGGGATATGAAAAGTTCTGCATGAAAAGTTATCTGCCTTTTAAAAAAGGCAGGTACAACCCGTACCTGCCTTTTTGAAAAGGCAACAGAAAACAGTTCAACAGAAAAACGTTTCAACCTTTATTTTACAAAAATAAAGACTTGGTGCATCAGCTAGAAAGTAATAACTGCAAAAAAAACTCAATATTTTGGCATGTTTAAACAGAAATCATGACGTTGTGATTTAGTCATTTTGTACTCAGTAACCAATATCCTAAACTTGGCGTTGCGTTGACTGATGGATCATTAGAGGCATTTGGCTGCATTTACCTCGGTATTTAGTGATACATCAGCCATATAAACACCATCTCCACCCTCCATCTGCTACTCACAGATCCTTTGATGGACCTGCTGATCAATCCTGCTGGAGCTCTCTCTTCACTGCTCACAGCAGCAATTATCCATGTTTCTGTGGTACATATTGAAAAAATCTACTCATCACTTTTTTGTAACTTGATTAAATTACTTGCTTTAATAATATAAGGAATTCATAATACTTAAGTGAGTTCATACAAAGGTATAAGTTACTGTACATACATCATAAAATATAACTAATACATTTTATTAAGTGCCGAGGTGTTCCTCTCTCTTATGTTCAGCTTTATACTTACTGTATAGTATCATTAGAGATGATTAGGTGAAGGACCTCTGCCACTAAATGCCGTCCAGTACTCAGTTGCATTCATTTAAGAGGCTACTTTTATTCGTAAGACTGTGGACGTCTAAGACATCCAAACTTTTTTAATGTTAATCGTATACTGATAACACCTGTGGGTTGTTGAGGTCTTATGAATCATTAGTTCACATGAGCCTTCAGAGTCACATAACTTCAGGTGTGGATTGGTAGTGTGGTAGCTGTTAAGTGGTGTGGCAGTCCCCCACTGTGTTCATAGAGGGTTGTTAAAGTTTGACACAGATGGGCTTTTTCACTCCTCCTTCAGATGATCTCTCCTGCCCCTCCAAAATCTTTCTTTTGCCAAACTCACATGGGTGTCACTGCATTTGAACTGCATACTGAATTTCTTGTTGCTTGTGTAACCGGTGTCGATAAGCGGTGTCTGCGTTGTGTTGATGTTGTTGATGGATGAGACCCAAGCCAGCATACAGTCGAGGCGATCTCCGTTTATTCACTGACAATATACAACAAATCAGTATTACATTTGTTATCCCTCAAACTGACTCCTCTCACGTGGAACATTTACAAAAAGGGAAGAGGAAACGTGAGGGACACAATATGAAGGGAGTAGTCCTCACAAAAAGAAAATTTCCTGAGTACATTGACTAAATTCTGGAGGTTCCGCCCACTGATTCTATACCTAGTCAGGTATTGAATGTTTAATAAATAAAGAACACAGAATTATTAATTACAAAACACATAATTTGTGTGATTATACTAAATGATAAAGAAATATTGAACACTAAACACCACTGCATATTTACAACTGTTACACTTGTAAAAGCTTCTTAACAACATTTCTTCTGTTTACAAGATCCACTCACTTTTACCATCTCTTTCTCTCTAGGGTCGTTTCCTCCAGCTGTCCTTTACGCCCGTAAAGACCGACTCCAACGGTCTGCACACGTAGCCACTAAGACTTTCCAGGCTCTGCGTATCTTTGTGAATGATGAGCTGAACGAACTTCACGCAGGACTGAGTGCCGCCCGGTCGGTACTGGCACCTGGAGGACGTCTCTGCGTGATCACTTTTCACTCACTAGAAGACAGACTGGTTAAACGTTACCTCCAGGGAGAGGACTTGTCCAATCTAGATCACTTCAGCCCGAGGAAGCAAGGCAGTGGGAAGCAAAAACTGGTAGATGCAAACAGAGAAAGTGGAGAGGTTTACTGGCTTCCTCTGCGGAGAAAAGTCATCACCCCAGAAAGGGACGATGTAAATGAGAATCCTCGAGGACGCTCTGCCAAACTTAGGGCAGCACTCAGACGTTAACATTTTTTTTTTAAATATGAGGGAATTGAAATTCTTTCTCTTTTCATCAAATTTTTTAGCTTTTATACAGATAGATTTTGTTTTAACAATTAACACGTAAGGAGGTTAAGCAAAGGGTGCAAATGCAACTATATTTGTCTGCTGCTTTCTTTTTCTCTTGACTGCAAATGTTGGATTTGTTCTGTTTCAACTATCACAATTAAAGTGGTGGAAAGCCATTGAGGGTTGTATGCCATCAACAACAATGGTTGGTTAAGGCTCTACATAGTGATGGATGAACTCTGGATAAGAGAGAGAATGATACTGACAAACAATACGACCCGAGGTTTGAGCCCAGATTTTTTTTTTGTATTGGCAGGCGAAAGAAATAATTGGTGGGACCATGTGTCTACAGAGGTGAGCAGTGACAAAAACTTGTGTGCTTAGAAAACTGGACTTTCCAAATTGGGGCAGGTGGTTTCATTTTCATCTCACTGTCTTCAAGAAGTGCTTGGAGCTGGTTAAGGTGTCACCAATCCATTCACTCTATGAAGACTGTAACATGTGATTGAGAGCTGTGAAAGCTGATAAATTGACCTTTGATCTAAGATGAATTAAGGTCAAGAAGTGAACTTCCAATAATAAAATAAATGAAGATAGATTATTAATTAGAAGGGAAGATAATGTTTACAGTTTAATATAATATAAAGTATGTACTTAAAGTTTTGCTTCGAGAAGAAAAAACTTTAGGTTGCCACTTCCAAACTTCAATTGCGCTGGTCCATCTTTCTCTCACCTTCCTTTAGCTCGAAACTCGACTGAAAACCACACATTGTGTGAAAGCTGGTTAAAAATTGATGTTAACGTTTTTTTTAACAGAGTGAAAGTATTTAATCTTTTTGTTTGCCTTTTGTATTATAAAATGTTGGACATTTTACCCCGCTTCATTGCAACACTATGGCTTGATCCTCACTTTTAGGATCCTGTACGAATTAAAGCTTTCTGTTTGCCATTTAAATAAATAAACTTTTCTTGGATCGCTGACAGAGTATAAGGTGTTTATTGCAGCTATATATCTCAACATATAAAAAAAGAAACACCTTTTCTCATTGACGTCTGTATTTTCCCTGAACCTCCCTTGATGATTCGCTCAAGTGAAACCTCTACTGTACCGTATGAATCAGTAATGCCACTAAATACTGAATGACGCAAGTGTCAGAAGTGGTGCTGAATGAGCTGGTTGGTTGTTTCTGAGCATTCTCTCACCTTCATTCGTAAGCAGATAAGGTGTTTTGATCTTTACTATTTGACTTTGACTAATTGTAATTGCTCCATCAAGATTATTAACACTTTTTTTTTCTTTCTCAGTTTAGTGCACTCTAAATATACCCTTTTCGTTACCTTGGAAACTAAATGGCGCAAGTAACATTTAACTGTGTCTAAAATGATATGCTGTTTATTTTTTATTACTAAATAATGCCATATCGTGAGTTTGTTAACCCTCCCTTTTGACATAGGTGAACGTGTCATGACATTTTATCTTTTGGCTGCTTTGCTCCCATTTTATTTCCTTAATATATTTACTGAATCACACTGTTTACCATTTATGGTAAGAAAATGTTACTCACGATTTCATCTCATACTGATGCGTAAAAGTGTTCATATAAATAGAAAAGAATAAAGAAAAGGGGGAGAGATTTCAACTTTTTTAAGTGTTCAAAGGTTCATCCTCAGTAAGTGGTCTTTTGTACTGCCACCATTTTCCCTGCTGTGCAAGAAGTCCTGTTGTCATGTTGATGTGTGGGTGGGTGCTTGTTTTTTTAATACAATCTTCTGAACAGTAACTCAGCATCTACACATTATAGAGACGTAGTATTCACCCCACGTACTTCACTAAAAGCAAGGTTGTCTCAATGTCTGATTTTTATGTTATACTTCATGTGGTTAGTTATTAACTCATGATGTTTAAGGATGACAGTCTCTTGTATTTAAGGGGGATCTATTTGCATACAATTAATACAATACTAATTACTATGTTTTCATTAGTGTATCATCAGTCCACCATTTTGCACCGTGATGTTTCTATGGTAATTCAGAGTGGACAAACCAAGCTCTGTCTCTACAGCCTTTACTGAAGGCCACCTTAGTTCTCTTATTCTAACTTCACTGCTCCTCAAGTTGTGTAAAGGATGGTCGCCCAGTGAGGGGAAGGTTCAGGCTTTAGGGTTAAGGAAATCCCCATGTTGAATTTTAATTAGTGATGTAATAAAATGTATGATTTACATCAGGTGGTGTGGAGTTATAAAGAAGTGAGACCTGTGTAGCCCGCCTTTCATCTCTCTCCTTGAGATGAGACTGCTAATGCAGTTGGAGGCAACATAAGTACTAGCATTTAGCATTATAGTAGTTCAGTTGCATTGTGGGTAATGTAGACGCCAAAGAAGATATCTTTGGTTTGCAATTGTTAAACTGTCCATCATGAGTGATGCTATGGTAAATTTGTGGAAGTATAAGTGTGAGTTACTCGCACTATTCTTAAATATGTCCTTGTTCTGCTACTCTGTACTCAATATGACAGGGAACTTTACTACTTACTTTTGAAGACTAAGATTTAATATAGAAACCTGTACTTAACTCAACTTAACCTTTCGAAAGCAGGACTTTTACTTGTTATTTTTGTGTTGGCATAATACCTCATCTACTGTGTTTAACATTATGGTAGTTCTATGTGTCTGGGTATGGTGATGTCATGGATAAATGTCAAATATTTGGCCCGATATTTGTGTTTTTGTAACATAACGTCTCAGATCTAAGCGTCTGATAAGGGGTTATATCAGTTGAAGCTCAAATAACCATTATCCACTTTTGAGACAGGGATTTTTACAGTCTTGCAAGCAATTGCAGATATAGTATCAGGCTAGAAAACGGCATGTACATGTACCAAAATACATGGTTTCAATTTTTTTTTTTTCATTAACAACTGATGTTTGTTGCTCGATGCAGGAGATGATAAGACGGGAACATCAGTAATATAAATTACTGCTATCTACCACTGCAAATGTTCAATCGCCATGGAAACAGTTACCTCAGATAACAGTAAATATGCTGTAAGACGAAGCTATTATTGTAGACTTGGATCAATCCATAAATTGACTACCAGATGCGTAACTAATAGCTACTGTTGTTGAATCACGTCTCTGAAGCTGCAGGCAGACACTCTCAACATAATCTAACCTGCTGCTAACAAACTAGAAGACAGGATTAATGTCTTCACTTGATACATTATCAATTTCAACAAAAGAGCACACAACAATGGTGTTTTTATTTTGGTTTTAAAGATTTACACTGCACATTGGTTGGTAGGTTTGCTTTTCCACAGGCTGAGGAGCACAGAGGTACGATAAATGAATCTGGATAGTGTGAGCTCAGTACGTCAGCACAGGATGTTTGATTCAAGCCTCAATCTTTCACAGACTCACTATAACCCGAAGAATTACACTAAAGGATTATGAATCAGGAGTGGAACACTAGTGGTTCACAAATTGCACCTCACTGCCTACATGTGTGGCTCATACTCACATCTCTTTTTTTATTTGAATCATTTTATATCATATGTGCTTATCATTGTCTCAACATTTGTTAGAGCCAATCTCTAATTTAGGTGGCACACCTTAAACTGCACAGGGCCAGATAACTTGTAATGAGGCAAAGTTAGTGACTTCCATGACTTGAATCACTTTGTCATCACAGCAGGGAAAGTTAAGTGTAAAGCTAAAAGAGCTAACATGTTACAAACTGAAAATGTAAAAAAAAATCCAGAGTAAGGATTTACATTTACATACTGTTGAATGAGTTGAGGGCAACTGAAGTGTAGCCATAATACAAGCCAGATTTGAAAGGATTATGGGAAACATGAAATGCCATTAGTCCCACTGAGTTGAAACTTGTAAAAGGTAAGAAAAACTACCAATGAAAATAAAACGTTGTCATTGAACATTATTTGATTGTTTCCATTATATCCAGATGACTATTAGGAGACCAACTACCAAACTTTTTTTCCCCTTCTTTTATTGTTTTCTATAGGAAAGCAAAACATAACACCCAACAAAAGAGAGAATGTCATTTATCAATGTCTCCACCACATACAGAAAAAAACCTTCTGCTTTTACAGACACAAAGAGTCTGTTTGGCTGCCCACCAACAGAGGAAACGGTCAGTTAAGGACTGATGTGTTGAGTTATAACAGTGAATTTCAGGCAGCCAACAACAATCTCACTGTTTCCCTAGTTTTTAATGTATGTGAGGCCACACAGGTGAGGACAAAGGTTTAAGAACATATGAATACTATTTGTCGATCAATTCTGGCCATTTAAGATTTTGTTTAAAAAACGCAACAATCTCTGATCCCGTATTCTCACATGAGGCAACTTGTTGCTTAACTTTGAACAAACAACACATTTGAGATATGTTTGAGTCATTTCTTAACTGCTTTTTGACATCTCATAGACTTAACCATTATTGATTGATACAAATAAGTTGCAGGTTAGTCAATTGTGAAAAGAAACTTCAGTTGCAGAGGTGATTCTGCTGTTAGATGACTTTTAGAGGATACCATGAAACTTCAACTTCAACTAGGATTTGTACATGTAATGCTCTGTGGTTTCATCATATTCTGTTCATGTTGGCTGTACATTTTGTTTTTACTTTGAAGATTGAAATGGAAAAATTGAGATGTGAAACTTATACCACTCCGGTTTTGTAAAAAAACTGTGAACAGGCAATGGTAATTGATGGTCCAGCTCATGTGTATTATACGTTTGAAGAGCAACAGCTCTAGCAAAAAAAACTAACGAGAACTAGACAAAAATATGACAACAGTAAAAAAGAAGAGAAATAAATGTAACACTAAAGTACCAAGCAAGATGAATGACAATGCCGTACCTCTGGTTATTCATCTACCTCTGACTGCTGTTATTTGTTATGTCTTCATTTCTGGCAGAGAGAAGAGAGCCAAGTGATGTGTGAGGAGAGAGACAAGCGTCAGCCTGTGGCTCCCCCTCTGACAGGCTGAAGAATGTTTAAGTTTTTGAGCCGAGAAAGTAAGCTCATTCCATCCACATCTTTACTCCCCTCCCTCCAACACTCTGACTCCCCGCCCATCTCTGCTGCTCCGCCTGCTATAAAAAGACTTCTTAGAGAAAAACACTGAGGTCAAAGCTATTTGAATAATTTTTGTGATTGACGCAGGGGCCTGCAGGTCTCATGGGAAGAAGATCCAACTGTGAAAGAAGACAGCCATGTTGGATAATATGATACTGCGCAGCCAGGGGTGAATCCTGTATTTAGCTGACTTTCAATTTGTAACTTAGTTTAAGGGATTCAAATATGACATTGAAAATGTTAATCACAAGTCCTACCCTCTTAGCAGTTTACCCAAATCCATCACCTCCAAGCTGCCGTGATGAGTGGTGGTTAGTGCATCCTGGAGCTGATGGCAGCCTCTTGGTTATGCCTGAGCCATCATCAGAGCACCTCTTGCTGTGTCAGGCGGTGAACAGGGTGACCTGATGTCATCTCTGTTACTCCAGTGTCTCCAACTGAAGGAGAAACAACACTTGCTTGCTTTCCTGCTATAACAGCCAATTGCATTTTTGCACCTGTTTATTTCTGTCTGGCTGTATAACAAACCCTGCCACAGCCAAGAGGGAGTCCCGTAGAAGAAAAGGTCTATTTCACTCCTCACATCTTAGATGGTAAAATCTAAATGGTAAAACCTTATTGTTAGTTCAAGAAGCTGAGAACAAGGTGGATATTAATACATTACAATGCAATAAGCACAGTTTTTGATAGGGTTAGCAGCAGTGTTGGATTGGATAATTTAAAACTGGTATTAACATGTGATCAGTATCTGGATATGTAAGCTCTATAGTCTTAAACAAAAGACAATTTAATAAATGGATCCACCCAACATATGGAATATAATACTTACTCCAGATGACATCATTCAAAAAACAGCTCCATTTTAACCTCAAACCCTCCAGTGG